TCACATTTTCTTGATCCATTCATCTACTGAGGGGCATCTGGGTTGGTTACATATCTTAGCTATGGTAAATAATGCTGCAATAAACATCATTGTACTGGTAGCTTTAGTATGGCCTTGTTTGTGATCATTTGAGTAAATGCCCAAAGGTTGGATTGCTGGGTCATAGAGGAGCTTTATGTGGAGTCTTTTGAGGAACCTCCATACTGCTATCCAAAGTGGTTGAACAAGTTTACACTCCCACCAACAATGCAATAGGGTTCACTTCTGGCACATCCCCTCCAGCATCTGCTGTTATTAGAGTTCTTGATTATAGCCATTCTAACTGGGGTGAGGTGGAATTTCAATGTTGTTTTGATTTGCATTTCTTTTATGGCTAGAGAGGTTGAGCATTTCTTCATGTGTCTATTGGCTATTCTTATTTCCTCTTCAGAGAAGTTTCTCTGTAAGTCTTTAGCCCACTTATTTATTGGGCAGTTGTTTCTTTGAGGATTTGTTGTTGGGGGATTTAGTTTTTTGAGTTCCAAGTATATTTTAGATATGAGACCCTTGTCTGTTGTATGGTTAGTGAAGATCTTCTCCCAATCCATGGGCTTTCTATGGATCTTGCTAGCTATGTCCTTTGCTGTGCAGAAGCTCTGCAGCTTTATGCAATCCCATATGTCCAACCTTTCTTTGATTTGTTGTGTTTCTGGGTCTCTATTCAGAAAATTTCTGCCTGAGCCAAGGAGACCTAAGGTTTCTCCTATTCTGTCCTGTAATGTTTTCAGGGTGTCTGCTTTGACTCCAAGTTTTTTGATCCATTTGTAGTTGATTCTGGTTTAGGGTGATATATAAGGATCTTGATTTAGTTTTCTACAGGTGTTTAACCATTTTTTGCCAGCACCATTTACTGAAGAGGCTGTCTTTCTTCCATTCTATTTTTTTAGCTCCCTTATTGAAGATTAGTTGGCTATAGGTCTGTGGGTTCATTTCTGTGTTTTCAATTCTATTCCATTGGTCCTGAGGTCTGTTCTTGTGCCAGTACCAGGCTGTTTTGATTACTATGGCTTTGTAGTAGAAAGAGAAATTTGGTATTGATATTCCTCCAGCACTGTTCTTTCTGTTAAGGATCGTTTTTACTTTTTGGGGTCTTTTATTGTTCCATATGAATTTTTGGACTGCCTCTTCTATTTCCTTGAAGAATGAGGTTGGAATATTGATAGGTATCGCATTGAATTTGTAGATAGCCTTGGGAAGTATTGCCATTTGCTTGACATTGATCCTTCTGATCCAGGAGCATGGGAGGTTTTTCCACTTTCTAAGTTCTGCTTTGATTTCCTTTTTCAGGTTTTTATAGTTTTCATCATAGAGGTTCTTCACTTCTTTGGTTAAGTGAATTCCTAGTATTTTATTTTTTGTGGGGCTATCTCAATATTTCGCATCTGCAGTATGACTTAGTCCCCTTGGCCAGCAATGACACCTCCTAATATTGCTGATGTTGTGAATGATGGCCATGGAGACATGTTACCCACACCCCCTTCAAGGGTGCCTTGCTGCAGCTTGAATGTCGGCTGCAGCCTTCTTGAGCTATTGATTCACTCAGGATCAGCCTTGGCTGCACCTTTCCAGAGCTCACCCTTTCCCAGAGGTGCTTATTGCAGGTGATGGAGCCAGGTGTAAAGTCTGCCTAATAGCTCTGCTTCTTTCTCTTCCGGTTCATGGCACTTCCACCTGAAGTAGAGTCTAGGGTCCACCCCCCCCCCACCTCAGCAGTCAGCACACAGTGAATGCTCACAGTCTGCTTTGCACTGGTGCTGGTCTGGGGCCTGTTAGATATCACCTGTGGAAGCCCCCCATCAATACATCTCCATGGGTTCCTGCATTTGAGTTGAGGGTCATCCCCACGGTCATTGATTAGGGTAGAAACCCAAACCAAGTGCTAGGTTTGTTGCATGGTTGCTGTGGCCTTTCACCAAGAAAGGAGTTTCTCATGTGGAATTTGATGGCGCATAGAACACCATGCTATTAGGTGTATTACATACCATCATTAGGACCCTATTTAGGAGGCAGAAAGTTCCCAATGAACGGGACAGTTAAAGAGCTTGATCTCCATGTAGAAGTAGATATGTCGAAAAATGAACTTTACAACTTTGGTGGGGGGCAGGGGGAGGACTGGGTGGGGGCGAGGGATATGGGAAGGGATGGAAAGGGGAAAACAAAGAGGAGGAAACAATGCTTGATAAATGTACTCATTATCTTGCCCATGTAATTTAACTCCTCTGTATGGTATTCTCACAATAAATAAATTTTAATAAAGAGCTTGATCTCTGTCTTCTTAGCTCTGTTGACCTCCATCCAGCTACTTTCCTGCAAGACAGAAAATTCCTACTGTACGTAAACTGTTTAGAGTAGAAAAATAACTGAGCTCTCTGCCTAGTCTACTTAACAAAGTCAGGGTAACCTGAACACAAATTCTGATATAGAATGAAGACAAGAAAGTTGCAGCTTACACCCCAGGAGCGTTTTGAAGGAGTAATGCCCATGGCTGCCTGGCCTCATTCCAGAGGTGATGTCATGAGGGGTAGTGTCCCTGGCTAGGCTGCCAGGCTTTGGCAGCCTCTTAGAGCTGTGCCTTCCAGAGCTGGGAACTTGGGTTTGCTATGTGACCTCTCAAGTGCTGATTTCCTAAACAACGATAATTGTCAGTGTTATTGTAAAACGAAACAAAACAAAATGAAGGAAAACTATTCACACACCGCACTGTATACAGTGAGTGCAGGTTGGGCTCATAAATGAGCTGCCATCTTGCCCAGTGTGGGAGGCAGGGGCCACGGAATCCAGACAGCTAGCTATTTCTGGACTCTCTGCTCAGGGCACTTCATTGGGAAGCCAGGGTTTTGGGCAGAGTACTGTCTGGTCTTAAAGATGGGAAATTCAGCCGGGTGCTGGTGGCTCACAATTGTAATCCTAGCTAGTCAGGAGGCTGAGATCTGAGGATCATGGTTCAAAGCCAACCTGAGCAGGAAAGTTAAGTGAGGCTCCTATCCTTCAGTAAACTACTCAGAAAAAGCTGGAAGTGGCGCTGTGGCTTAAGTGGTAGGGCGCTAGCCTTGAGCAAGAGGCCAAGGACCTACACCCC